CAGAAGAGAAGCCGTGTGGCGGGGGGGGGGAGGAGGGCAGAGGACGGGCCATCCCGACGAGGACTGCTGGTCATCCGCTGGTCACACGGCATTTATCAGGCTGCTCCGTCGGTGCTCCAGAAACAAGGGGTGGAGCCACGCTGCTGTGTACCAAAACCCCCCCCACACACACACACACAGTGTCACGGAAGGCCCAAGGTCGCCACCTCCCACCACAAAGCTCCTCCTGGGTGGGAGCCAGCCGGCCGAGGGACAGAGCAAAGCTTCCTGCAGCCACGAAGGGCCCCGCCCGGAGCAGAACCACGGGCCTCGGAGGCAGAGGCAACGGTGCGGACAGGCAGAGCGCCCTGTGGCCGTGGCCTCCCGGGGCAGAAGGACGAGGAGGAGCCCTCTGGGTGGGTCACTGGACTCCGCTCGGACTAGGGGTGGGGTGGGGCCAAGGAAGCACCGACCTCTGCCCCCCAAGACGACCCCCGCAGGAGGCAGCGGATGCTGCTGCTGCTGCAGAGAAGCCCCTCGCGGGTAAGGGAGCAGAGGTACACCCCCCCTGCCGCAGGGACGCAGAGACCCGTGGCCGTGGGAGGAGAAGGCTCCCCGCCTCCCACCTGGTGCAGGGGCCAACAGGACCCCTTCCGGGCAGCCGGCTCTTCTGCAGCTAGCAAGGTCAGGGCCGGCTCACCCGCTAGGCCAACTAGGCATTGGTCTAGAGTGCCGGGCCCTGGATGGGGGTGCCAAAGTTTCCCCCCCCCCCTCCTCCCCGGGCGCATAGAGAGGGGATCCTGCGCCAGGGCCGCGCTTGCCACCGCCTGCCAGGGGAGCCGAGGCAGTCGGAGCTGCTGCAGGCGTCGCCAGGCACGACTAAAGGTAAGCGCGCCCTGCTGTTGGCTGACTGGCATGTTTCTGTGCCCTAGGCGAGGCTAGCTTGTGGTGCCCGCCCTCCCTCAGCGCAGATGCCAACCTCCTGGTGGGGCCTGGAGACCTGCCAGAAACACGCCCGGGAGGGGGGGCCACCGGGCGCCACGAGCTAGCCTCGTCCCTGCCCGGTTTCTTAGGGTCAGCAGGGGAATCGTACTCTTCCGCCCCCCATTTTCTTTTCCTGCGCTTCTCCACCGCGCCCCCCCCCCCTGAATACCTTATGCAGAGAGGCACAGGGGCAACGGGGGAGCGCCGGAGCTGATTCCATTTGCTGCAAGGGTGGAGGGGAGCGCGAGCCGGAGGCCCAGCGGAGGGTGGTGGGTGGGGGGAAATCCCCCCCCCACTTTTGCAAACTTCCATGATGGCAGCGGTCGTGTTCCTGGCGGTGGCGGGGAGGGCGTGGGGGGGAGAGGCACAGTTCGGTGCCCCATCCAGGGCCCCCTCCCCCCGGAGTTGCCGGACTCGGGGAGAAAGAGGCAGCGGCGGCCACCCGGTCTGGGAGATGCAGGGCTTTTGGCAGGGGTGGGTGCAGTTTGACTGGCTGGCCCTAGGGCGCCAAACTGCACCCGGCCCGGCCCCCGCCAAAAGTCCTGCCAGTTCTGCTTTCGTTGCGGGGGGAGGGGGCCCTGGATGGGGCACCAAACTGTGCCTCTCCCCCCCACGCCCTCCCCGCCACCGCCAGGAACACGACCGCTGCCATCATGGAAGTTTGCAAAAGTGGGGGGGGGATTTCCCCCCACCCACCACCCTCCTCTGGGCCTCCGGCTCGCGCTCCCCTCCACCCTTGCAGCAAATGGAATCAGCTCCGGCGCTCCCCCGTTGCCCCTGTGCCTCTCTGCATAAGGTATTCAGGGGGGGGGGGCGCGGTGGAGAAGCGCAGGAAAAGAAAATGGGGGGCGGAAGAGTACGATTCCCCTGCTGACCCTAAGAAACCGGGCAGGGACGAGGCTAGCTTGTGGCGCCCGGTGGCCCCCCCTCCCGGGCGTGTTTCTGGCAGGTCTCCAGGCCCCACCAGGAGGTTGGCATCTGCGCTGAGGGAGGGCGGGCACCACAAGCTAGCCTCGCCTAGGGCACAGAAACACCTCGGGCCGGCCCTGAGCAAGGTGCCCCTCCCACAGTCAGTCGCTCATGGAGGCTGCTCCCCCGCTGCTCCCCGCTCTCCGTTTGGCCTTTCCCCCTCCTCCTCCGAGGCCCTGGGCTGGGAGGGCCGGCAGGGGCCAAGGGAGGGGAAGGCCCAAACCCACCCGAAGGTGCCCTGGGGGACGGCGGGCGGGCGGGCAGGCAGGCAGGCAGGCAGGCGTGGGCCTCTCTTCCCCCTGGCTGCCAGGCCACCGGGCCTGAGGGAGGCGCCAGAGGGACACAAGCCCGCCGGACGCCGGAGGGGAAGAGAGGCCCGGCCACGAGGGAGGGAGGGAGATAGGGAGGGGAAGCCTCACCACTTGGAGGAGTGCAGCGAATACCGCTTGGCTGCTTTGCTGCTGATCCAGACGTTGCACAGCTGCCGCTCCACGTGCTTGCAGTAGAACATGTGCCGGAAGAGCATCTGGTAGCGGGTCAAGGCCTTCCTGCAAACCAAACGTGAGGCCCGCAGTGCAGAGAAGACCCCCTGGGTGTCCCTGCCCCAGCGCCTGGCTGGCCGCCCAACACTCCCCCCCCCCGGCACACTCAGGGAAGCCGAAGCCTCACCTCCATTGCTCTGCCAGGAGGACCCGGCGTCACACCGTGGCCCCAGCAGAGACGCCCCCCGCCCGCCCCCCGGCCAGAGCCAAAGCGGCTGACCTGTTGATGATCAGCGAGAGCGGCCACTTGACCACGTAGTCGAAAGAGAAGGCCTCCAGGCCACTCAGGGACAGCTCCGTGGGCTCTGCGTGGACGATGGCCTTCTCCTGCCGGGTCTCGATGGCCAGGACGCGCAAGAGCTGCGTGATGAGGTCGTGGGGCATCAGGTAGATCTGCAGAGAGAGGGACCCGGAGAGCAACGGTGGTCTCGCGATGCTCCCGGTGGAGCCCGGCACAGCCACGCCCGCCTGCTGCCCAGGGCTAAAAGCAGACCCGGACAGCCAGGAGCAACCCCCCCAAAAAAACCTCCGGCGGCGCGCCCAGGTGAGGAGGCCGGAGGAAGCGGCCCCTCGGGAATGTGCCCGACAAGGCCCGCTGTCCTCTGAGCAGAAAACGAAGACACCGCGTCACAGCGCCTGAGAGCGGGGGCACGTCTGTCACCCTACGCATCTGTCACCCCCGGCTCGGCCATCGGTCGTCTGGGGACTCACGGGGCTGACAAAGGTCCCTCTCAGAGGGCTGAACACAGCGTGAACACAACCCGGCAACCCAGGATGCAGTCGGAGAGGCCTGGAGCCACGTGTGCAGCAGAGACACGGCCCTCCGTCCAAGTCACCTGCACTGCCAGCACTGGGCTTGTGAATGGCCTCTAAGGCCACTAAAGTAGAAACCTGCCTCACGTCAGGCCCCCCCGTGGGGCTCCTGGCTCCCTTCCTCCCAAACACCAAAGAGCCCGGGAAGGAGCGGCTTTTGAATCCTGCCCCCGTGCTTGCGATTTGTATGGCCGGGGAAGGCCGTCCTCTCCTCCTAAGCGGCCAGCAGCCGATGGCCAGGCAGCCCTGGTCTTTCCCAGAGGAACAGGCCCCGTGGGAGACGGCCCCTGGGAATCGCTTCCGGGGCAGCCAGCCAGCCAGCCAGCCAGGCTGCCCCGCGGCCCACATGGTCACACAGAGAGAGGGCTGAACAAGCTGGAAGGAGTTCCCAAGCCAGCCTCGAGAGGTGACACAGTTCACACCTTCGGCCCCCATCAGTCCAGAGCCGCGTGCGAAGGAAGCGACACTGTGACTCTCATGAGCCATCCTGAATGTATCGCAGGATCAGGGTGTTCCCATCTTGGAGGGAAGCACTAAGCTGCTGCTGCTGCTGCTGCTGCTGCTGTTGGGGGGGGGGACGGCAACCCCCCCCCCATTGCCCCTCAGCTGTGGAAGCCCCCCCGACCCTCAGGGGGCCTGCCTGGTGGCCACAGGAGAAGCTCCGGACCCTCGACTCCATCACCGCCCGCGGAGACCCCTGCCCGCTCTCTCTCCCCCCCCCCCCGGTTGCGGCTCCTCTTCGTGACAGAGAGACCCGCCGCCCCGCGCGCCAGGCCGGAAGGGCCGGGAGACCCAGAGGGGCTCACCTTCAGGTCGTCCTTGAAGGGGTCGGTGTTCGCAGTGCTCATCCTCAGGGCCAGTTCCAGCAGAGCCTCCAGCCTGGTCGGGATGATGTCCTCCACGGGCTTCTTCAGCTCTTCCTCCGTGAGGTCCATGAAATGCACGTAGAAGTCACCCTGGTCCATCAGGAAGTAGTGCTTGATCGACCTGCTTGCCAGAACGGAGGAGCCAGTCAAGGGCACGAGGCCAGCCCCACCTGCCTCAGACGGTCCCGATGAGGCCCATCACACACGAGCCCCGCAATTCAGGCAAAGGGACTCCTGGTCCTCCCTGACCACTCAGTCCCAGAGCACAGCGTCTCTGCCCTGCTCTGCCTCTCCCAGGAAAGCATGGCCGGGACAGCCCGATCTCAGCAGCCAGGCAGGGTTGGCCCCGGGTTAGTGTTTGGCTGCTGAGAGGAGGAGGCGGCCCCACCAGGAAGCCCAGGGGCGCGGCGCAGAGGCAGGCAACTGTGGGGCAGAGAGCATCCGGAGGCCTTCTGGCTCCTGGTTCCTCCTGCAGCCCAGACAGGAGCATGACTCAAGGGACGCTGAGGCTGACAGGATCCCCGTTCCGCACGCTGGTCGGTTTGGAAGGCCAAACCTGGCTCCAGCTTCCATGCAGGACTTTCCCCGAACTGGGACAGCTCCACCAGACCAAACCGTGGAGCACAGCCGGCCAGCGCGCCACGAAGAGAGCCCTCTGAAACGCTTGAGAGCTCTGGGTGGCCGAGGAAGGAAGGAGACACACCTCAAGCGGGCCACCAGCTCTTTTTCTTCCATCAGGAAGTCCAGCAGGACTTTGCTGGCGTAGTTGTAGGCCTTCTCTATCTGCTCCACGTATTCCCGCTCCTTCAAAGTATAGATGACCTCTTTTGCCACCGGACAGGTAACGTCACGGCCACACTCCCGGACAACGTTCAAATATTTCCCTAAAGGAAGGATGGAGTGGAACTCTGGTGAAGAGGAGGGCAGGCCCAGAGCCCGGAATGGGGAGCCTCGGCCCCGGTCGGTGGAAGGAACCCCCCCCCCCGTGTCACACCCTCTGCTCTCTGCTGCGCTCGCCTGGGTGGCCGTGAGTCTCGGGGGGGTGGGGGGGGA